TGTCGGAGACTCACTGCTGTAAGCAGCCTGTCCATAAAGGAAGAATATGATTCTCTTGCCTCTTGCCTGATTGAACCCCACCTTGACTGAATACTGGGTTCTGGGATTTTTCTCATTGCTTGTTTAGCAGCAAGAGCAGTGTCCCTCAATAAGATTTGCAGCAGTGTGGCTTGCACTGAAGCTTGAGCGAAGGGACCACGCCCCAACATGGCATCTGTGACGTCTGCGAGGGTAACATTTGGATTATTTCCTCTGACTTGTTGTAACAAGGCTGGAGCATAAGCACGGCAGGCAGTTTCCCATTCGTGGGCAAACAAAACACCAGCTGATGGGGGCAACACTGTATGGGCCAAAAGCTTGATGTCCTCTGGAACCAATAGCTGGGCTAATGTGGCTTCTAAAAGCGCCTGTGTATATGGGGCTTGGAGTCCATTGGCCTTTACTGACTGTTGCAGCTCTCTCAAGATCTTAAAGTCAAAAGGTTGGTGTTGGGCTTGGGTGCCTGCTGGGGCACCAGCAGGGGGCACAATAACAGGGAATGCCATAGTATCCTGAATTAAGGAACAGGCAAGGACTGCACGTTGAAAGGGTTCTGGTTCTGGTTCTGCCGCTGAAAGAGCAGGATCATTGCCAGCCAGACAATGGTATTTTTGCAGGATTGGGTCCTCTGGTGAGGAACTGTAGTCCGGAGGTTTGGGGTCTGGAGCTGCTGGCAAAGCAAGTATTGGAACAGACTCTAACACAGCAGGCTGAATTAAAGAAGCTGAAGGTTGTGTTGGCACTGCAGCCATGGAGATATTTTTTGGTGATAAAGAGTCCATGGCGTAACGAACCTTGCACCATGCATTTAGAATCCGAACACTTATGCTGGGGTGCCCATGAAAATGTGCCCCAATCTTGTCCCAAAGTTTTAATTCCCACGTCCCATCTGCAGGAAACCAGGGGGAATGCTCTTTGATGGCCAGAATGAGCTGTATTAAATCACCCTCCGGAACTTCCAATTTGTTGGAGGAGAGGAGAAATTTTAAGTCTTTTAAAAATTTCTGTTGGGGAGCAGACAAAGAGCTGCCCATTTTTCTAAAATCAAGATCAAAGAGAGATCAAACTCACCAGGGATCCGAAGATGAATAGCGCTTGAAGCCCTTGCCGGGCGTGGTAAGCCGATGATATCCTTTGCTAGGATCGAAAAACCTCACACGGTCTCCTTTTAAAATCCTCTTAGTCTGCCTCAGACTGTTTCCTTTGAGTTGCCTCACACGGTTTTCTTTTAAAAGCCTCAGACGTATTGTTTTATTCAGCCTCACACGGGGCACCACTTGTCGGAGCCAGCCGTTACAAGTGGCGGAGTTTAGCATAAAATAAAGACACAGAGAGCCAGCAATATTTTCATGATGGTATGAGCAGCTCCTTTCGAACTTCCCTCTCCTCCTGCAGCCTCTTTTATTATCCTTTGTCTCTCTCCAGCCGCATGGCCGTTTGCCAATGTCTCACGTTACCTCATCCGGTCAAGGCTTTTATTGCCCCCAACACCATATAGGGTCCATCACTGCCCAGAGGAAACACAACTGCATTTAAGTCAATACATTCCAATACATTGTAAAGCTCAGAGTGCTGGTCAGCCGAGGTCAGGGGGCACCCTGCAATATTACAAGCCTTTACCGTGGCTTTATGACTCCCACACTTGAGGGTGGATTGACCCTCTGATTTGGAACTTTGGGCTCACTTGCTGATAGGTATGTCAGGGGTTCAGGACACATATTGACTACTCCTGTTCTTGATGGATTGACATAATATTTTTTTAATGCCCAAATCCCGATAAAGTTATTTGTGCTTTATTCCGATTGAAATCAATAGGACACATTACTGAGAAACCAATGACCATTATCCAACTAAATCATTCTCAGAGTAGACTTATTTGGTTTACCTTAAATCCATTGATTTCAATGAATCTCCTCTAGGTTATGACTAATGATGGATGTCACCTGTTGCAATTAATGTCCCATTAACTTTCTTCAAAATGGGCCAAAATAAATGCAAATTACCGGTATTATGATGTTTATTGTTTGTAGTTTTACATATACAGTTACAAAACTTCTCAGGATATACCAGCAAATATAATCTACTAAAATGTTTGAGTTCAATACCAGTGGTTTAAACTGGTATTTTGAGTAAACTTGATGTTTTGAGATTGTATAATTTTTAAAATTGATTTGAATTTTCAGCTGTATTTTAGCCACAAAGTACAATTCAGCCAAAGTAAACCACGGTTTAGTCTTACTATGCCCTTGAAATCAGCAGGACTTAATAATGCTAAACTTTGGCTGAACCATGCTGGTATTTTTTTTTTAAAGCTCTACTGTAGCTATTTCCTCCCTGTGCTTAAAAAAATAAATAAAGAAATCACAAAACGCCCTTTCACATATTTATCCATAAATAACACTGGCCAAAATAAAAATCTTTTAAGATTCAAGGGCTCACATCCAGACAAAATTAGTTATGCTTAAGCCCTACCAAAATCAGTGGGACGAATTAGTCACAAGACAACTAATTTATTTCTGTTGATTTCATTGCCCTTCAATGTTTCCCCACAACTGTTCTCCTCTCCAAGTCCAGGCTCCAAACCACAGAACAAAGTTGGTTGGAACCTCCTTTAACTTTCAGAATTGGAAGTGGGGTTGGGGAAGTCTGATTCAAAAGAGAATTCAAAAGCCACACACTAGTCATGCTGAGTTCAATCCAGAGTTTTCTGGCTGGTGGCCATTTCTGATATTTGACTAAGTGACCTCACCATGCAGAAATGTCCAAATTTACTTTAATTTGTATGACGTTGAATTAGGTACACATGTGCATATTCATGTACTCTGACTAACAAACACACAGTATTGCAACAGTGACAACAAATGAGATGTCACAAGTGGGACCTTCAACTATTGCAGTGTGGATTGTTCCTGTTGAGAGTTCCAGCCAGCCAACTTTACCGTCTTCCATGATTCTCCCTTCCCTTCCCTATTCCATTTTTCTATGCCCCCCCCCCAATGGTCAGGTAACATTCTATGGCCACTGAGTATACTCAGCCCTCAAGGAGTTGTTTTTGGATTCCTTTCTCTAGGGTTAATCCCCCGGCGCGGCTGGGTCTTTTGTACTTCTGCAAACCTTGGAGATCCCTCAAGCCTGCTGAAACTTTCCTCTTGTCATTGATGGCACCATTTGGGCTGCAAAAGGATTGACACTCAGAGAATACATTGGGTATATTTGGAATTGACTTTAAATTTACTGGAGCCAGTTGAGAAGCAGTTGGATGGCTTCCTGTCTGTACACATAGCAATTTATTAAAAGGGCTGGTCCTTATTCATCATCTCGTCAAAAGTAGTAAGAAGAAATTATTAGGTCATCTAGTCACTCTCTCTGCCAATACCAGATTACTCCCCATACTCCTCACAGTAAATTTTCTAGTGCTGGAGTAAGATTGCTTAGAGATCTCACAAGGCTTATGGTTTTGGCCACTTGATGGTACGTCTAATACTAAGAATGTTTCAGAAGTACAAAAATGTTTAAAACAAAACCTATAATGGAAAAGGGCTAAAACTTAACAGAAACTCAGTAGCAATAGCTACTTTGAATTATAATTCTGTAAACCTCTGCTAAATTATGTGGAGACAATTTGTGATAAAGCAAATAACCTAGAACTGGTTTTTTAAAAACAACACAGCACTTTAAAGTCAATAACGGTGTTTCTCAGGCTCAGCTGACAATAAGTGGAATGGAGAGGACATTAAAAAAAAAAAAATCCATCTCCTGCTGTCCACCAACCATCTAGAGAAGATTTAGATACAACTGAATATAATTTTTGACTTTTAACACATTGTTCATTACATGGTTTGTTTGTTTTTTTACATATTATGTATTCAATTGTTCTGCTTTTTTTTTTTTGCCAGCTACCTTGTGAGGGCTTGCACAATTCACAATAATTAGAATTAAATAATTAGAACTTACACCTCCACCTTTTCTATTTCTACATTCTACATTTCTACATTCCTGATTCTCTATTTGCTCTGTTGGTATCCACCTTTTTGCTAAATCACATTTCCCATCTGTTATTTCCCATCTCAGATCATTTTCTATTGTGGCTCCTGACATCTGTGACTTCCTTCTGCCCTATATCCCAATTCCTTCCTCTATAAACACGTTCAACAATGTCTCAGAATTAGTGGGGTGTTTTTTTTTTGGGGGGGGGGTGAGAATCTTTGGCTGAACTACAACACCTATCAGCCTCAGCCTCACCATTAATGGTGGTTAATGGTTAGGTTGAAGGGAGCTGAAGTTCAACCGCAGATCCAAACGTCTCCCATTCTTGCCTTAAAATGTATATTTTTGTCTTACACACCTTCCATCTATCTTTTTTCATTTTCCACATGTGCTTGTCCCAGTAACTTCCTGGCAGTGAACTATTTTCTGACTCTGGACTGGCCCTGCCCACTCATGGTGGTTTTTGGAATCTCCTCCAGGGGAAGGGCTATAAAATAATTCATGTTTCAGCTGAGATTTTCCTAGGCAGCAATGGACTTTGTAGCTCTGGTCTGGCCTTCATTTCTGACTCTTGGCACAACCCCTGGCGCCCCTCTGAAAGCTACCTATGGGGCAGCACTTTCAGTTAAGAATAGGGTGATAATGTCCTACCTCACTCAGAAAAAACTCTGTATCACTTGGTGTGAAGAATTAACCAGGTAAAAGAAGTTAAACCTACCATTTCATTACGTCCTTGGTAAATGAAAATAAGTGGTACTAATGAATCTGGTCACGAAGCATCACTAACTGACCCCCTTAAGGCCTCCAATGCAAAAGAAATAAGCACCCTACCTAATTAAAGCCATAAATTATTTTATTGTAGATGCTTCTTACAAAGAGGCAATCGTGCTGCTGAATTACTACTCTGAGCAAATGTAAAACTGGGAACCACATGATGGTTTGGCAGGCATGGCCCTTGTTCCTGAGGAAAATGCCATTTATAGAGGGTTTTATTACCTCAGGTTAATGACATTTCACATGACGAAGGCTGTGCTAGGGTGACAATGCAGCCTTTATGTTCACAAAGTGGCCATTTCCTTTCATAACAAATGTGGCATCAGTTGTTAGATTTTCATTTGCCAAAGATACATAAACCAAAGTGGATTTTAATGGTGTGAGTGGGTGGAGGTTGTTTGGATTAAAAAAGGAGACGGGCAATGAAGTTCAAAGCACTGCTGAGAAGTACAACTTAGCCTTCATGCAACTATAAAGGCAAATAATCCCTTTCACATTTTAGATTTCACTTCTGAGCATTTTTGACTCTTTGAATCACTGCTGTAGTGAAACCTAGCACATTTCTGAATTTCAAAGATGCACAATTCAGTTTGCACATACAGTGGTACCTCGAGTTACAAACACATCAGGTGACAAACACTTCGGGTTACAGACTCCGCTAACCTGGAAGTAGTACCTCGGGTTAAGAACTTTACCTCAGGATGAGAACAGAAATTGTATGCGGGGTGCGGAGGCAGTGAGAAGGGCCATTAGCTAAAATGGTACCTCAGGTTAAGAACAGTTTCAGGTTAAGAATGGACCTCCAGAATGAATTAAGTTCATAACCAGAGGTACCACTGTACAATGCAGAACAGGCTGATTCTGCACTGCAGTGGATTCTATGGGATAAGATTAGGGCCTGCAACAATAAGAGGCTGGGGCCACAGAAAATGTCAGAGTAATTTCTGTTGATTTAAGCAGAGTCCAGCGGAAGGATGAGGAAAATGTGCTGCATACTCTATATTGCTTTATTTACAGTTCAAAGCTGGTATATTACAGAAAGACATCTTGCCTCTGCCGAAGCAGAAAAATGCATCCTCTCTCCTCGACAGCTCGGAGAGAATCACACAGAAACCAACATCCTCCCCCTTTCTGTGAACATCACTGGGCAGCGTGTTCGTACAGTATCAGTACAAACCCAACTTCTGCACATAGGTACAGTGTTGATCCCTTGATACAATCTTGGACAATACATCAGCAGGAATTTCATTACCTGGCATATAGGACACCGTTACGAGTCCCTTCTGAATACATTCCCTAGCATGCTGCAACTTTAATTGCAAGTGCTTTGTGCTTTGCTTACAACCTTCAGACTTCAGCAAAGCCAAACATGCTTTGTTGTCCTGGTAAACCTGGATTGGACATTGACAGGAATTTTCATATCTTTGCACAATTGTACTAACCATTCACAATCCTTAAGTGAATAAGACAGTGCATTCAGTTCGGCTTCACAAGTACTTAAGCTAACTGTTGTTTGCTTCTTGCATGACCAATCAAAAAGACCCTGATTGTACATGTAGCAAACTCCAGACGTACTTTTCCTGTCTGTAGTGTCACTTCCAAAACTTGCATCTGCAAATATCTCAAGACCACCAGACTTCTGATTGTTAAATCTCAGTCTGTAATGCATAGTGCCTTTCAAATACCGCGCTATGCGTTTCAGAGCTTTCAATCCTTGACACTAGGATTGTTGACTTGTCTGCTTAGCAAATTACAGCTAACAGCAATGTCTGGTCTTGAACATCTGGCAATGAAGTTTAGCTTTCCTAGCACACTCCTGTACAGTGTAGTGTCAGAAAATGCTTCTTCAGTGTCATCTACCTGATAACCTGTTGTCATCG